GGAAATGAGGGGAGTGTTCATACAAGCACCGCCTATCACATCCGACGACGTGGAAGTTGTCAAACCTCAAGAAGCAGAAGTGTCCACACAATGTGTGACAATGCTGGCTCTATCTAGATGTCACGGAAGACCGCCTAGCTAGACAAAATGAGTGAATGCTTAAATGATAAATGATGAGGGCTTTAGTACATCCTACCGATCCATTAAGCACATCGCATATTGACAGATGACAGGTGAGTTCTATTTAGCGGTCCAAAAGTGGATTTCAGGCCACTGCAACTTCCAAATCGCATAAAGCACCACCTGTCACCATGGCATCTTCTCAAACGCGTCCACGGCACTTTTTGTTTAGGCCTTTTCAAAGCCCATGGAGGGCCAGTATGAGTCATTTGGCAGATGTCAATACTACTGGCTTTTAAGTACCAAGGCGAGGGGGTTATTTTCATTTCACTTGTCATTGTCAACTTGCCCGGACAACTTGGAGACCATTTTTTGTACAGGTGTGAGACTAGACATATTTTAGCAGTAAAACAATTGAGAGAATGAGAGGGAGAAACTACTTTGTCTTAATTTTTTTCACGATAACTTTCATCCGAAATGACTAAAATTACATTACTTTTTGAGTTGATTCACTGGAAGCTAGAATTCGCACATATTTACTAAAATAAAAGTTACAAATGAAGGAGCGGCTATTTGACTTCAATGATGGTTGTGCTCACACCTGTCAAATTGCCAATGACAAATAAGAATGGCACCACACCCACATCACCTCGGTGCCATATTCAACCTTGGAAAATTTTACAATTCACTTTAACAACTAGGAGGTCAAGGCACAGATAACATCAAAATGATGAGTTTTTTTTGCTTAAATGGAAGGGGAGTTAAACAATGGGAAAATTAAGGTGCAGCAGCCACGAAGCCACTTCGAGACAGAAGGGAGAGGAGAGAATAGATAGCAAATAGGATTTGAGGGAAGGGCAGTAAAGTTAAGCCGACAAAGAGGATGCGTAGCAAGGACTCTCTAATGCGTTCCCTCTACGGTCTTCCCGCAGCATCGCATTTCCACCTCATGT